AACATTCTAACTTAAACAATCCTAATGTTTGCCCAACAAATGACAACCCAAACTAGATAGAAATATATATCACATACAATAACATTTTAACTTAAATAATCCTAACGTTTCCAACATACGACAACTCAATATAGAGTTTGAAGTTATATATAGGTATTGTAAACTTACCGCAACCCGACTACACCTCGAAGTCACGTACTCCCCTCGTGACCCCTTTTGGTTCAATCCATCATGATCCTACAACACCTATGTATGTGGGGGACTAAGTCCCAACAATATGGATACCGTATTCTTGATACAACTACACATTCCACCTAAAAAAGACAATAGAAGATTAAAACAGTTGGTGTTATAGTGGTGACATCGGGGATTTTCTCGACTATTCTCCATGCAAGGACTTATGAGATTACTTAGTATTTATTGTGACCATGATTCTGTGATTTACTACAAAGTGGCTAAAAGGCCCTAATTGGTACCAACAAAATAAACTCGAAGCATACATTTCAGCATGGAACAATGATTGCACAAAAACAACAAACAGTGTATTTCAGTTATGGACTAACTCAAACAACAAACAGTGTATTTCAGTGTATTTCAGCAACAAACAGTGTATTTCAGCAAACAATGTGAAAACTATTAGAAGCAATAACACCTCAGATTTGTCAATTCCCAAGCTAAAGATGTGTTTGAATCTTGAGATATCTCACCAAACGTCATATCCATATACACATTTGTAGGTGGTGTTGTGTAAAGGAAACACCAACAGAGAGTGGAACATGGATTATTTTAAAATTGAAAYACCAACARAGAGTGGAATCATGGATTATTTTAATATCCATATACAACACCTAGAAGTTAAATAAATATTAAAAAGAAACATAAAAATTAAAAACCATGAATAGAGAATCTTTACTCTTGTTCCCATGAACAGAGAGTGGTGTCCAAAGAGGAACAGATAGTGAATCTAACACAAAACCTAGGTTTCACAATTAGTTCCACAAAGAACCGCCTAATTTTCAAAACTGGAATCAAACAAAACAGCTCCATAAACACGAATCAGTTTCCCATGATATCTAAAAACCTAACATTTCATTAAGGGACCATCGAATTAATGCCAAAAAATTGAAAAGAAAAAAAAGGAGAAGATATACCACTGGTGTCCTCTGTAACAGCGTGAATCGAGAGGGAGGCGAGAGGGAGTGACAACCGTGAGTCGAGAGGAAGAACAGCCGGTGAGTCTGAGTGACAGCGTGAGGCGAGAGGGAGGCGAGAGGGAGGCGGAGGGAGGGAGGCGAGAGGGAGGCGTCGAGAGGGAGGCGAGAGGGAGGGAAGAAGAGCTGGTAAACCTAAATTCTATAATACAATTTGGGGAATTTCAAACTTTTCAAAAAAAAATTTATAAATATATATATATATATATATATATCTTTGTTACGGAAAAAAAACATTTTTTAAAATTTCCGACGGAATTTAATTTTTTTTTAAATAAAATTAAATTCCGTCGGAAATCCGTCGGAAATTTTAAAAAATGTTTTTTTATTTTTAAAATAAAATAATGAAATCTGTCAGAAATCTGTCGAAACATTTTTTAAATATACAAAATATTTTTATAAGATTTTCAAAAGATCTTTATATTTAAAATAACCGAATAAGGCCCAACAGTATCGGTTAATGTCCAGTTGAACCGAATAAGGCCCAACAGAATCGGTTAATGTCCAGTTGAACCGAATAAGGCCCAACAG